TATGCAACAATGGTTGCGATTGACACTAGCATCTAGTTTATTAAAAGGACGGCTGAATCAAAATTATATGACCAGAGGAACATTCACTGAAAACTCGAATGATTCTATCTTCGCAAATCTAGCAAGATTGATATTTGGTAGTGGCCCGTTTATAACAACTCGTGTCATTTCGTGTGTTGGGTGCCCGAGTCGTTCAAAATAACGATGACACTCGCCAAGTCTTAGAAAAGCAGCATGATAATCAGCGACCTTGTCCACATAAATCCTATCGGAGGAATTATATTTTGTGTCTCAAGGACCACCATAACAAAATTCGACACAAGATTGTGATACGTCCTCGAGAAATTATGCACAGCAACAGACGACATAACAGTTTTTGAGTGTTTCATCGTTGTCTATGTTATATTTTACGAAAATATGTTTCGTATTTTGTTGGAGTGATTCATTCCAATAAAAAAATCCAAATGGTAACATAAACTGATCAAATGTTGATTAATCTGTATAATTATCTCCATCAAATAACCAGGCTTATATAGGACCATGCTTTATTTTTGTAGATTTCTTCGTAGATGTCACTGTGGTAAGATCATATTATTCTCTCTCTTGGAAATTATGTAATCTAGTTTGCTCACGAATGTGAATTATGATCACATAAAATTATTGGAGCATTCTTATTTTAGTATTTACCAGAATTGTACAAAATCTCGTTTGTGATTGTTTTTATTATTATCGGAAACTTAAATATTTTTACTAAAATAACCACGTCATCTATCTTACTTCCGTTGATATGTGAGTTTTCCCATTGTGCTATTTTTATTCTGTAAGTACGTTTCCACGTTATGAGTTTACAAAATGATCCATTATACGTTGAACAACACAAGTTAGCGAACCTGTTTTCGCTCCCGCAAGAGCAGATATGTCTGGTTCATTTAAACGATACTTTGCGTAAACAACTGCTGTCACAGGATATGATTTATTGTAATATGGTTTGTCGATTCTGGTGAAAATACATGGTCTAGAATTTTTATTTATCGTGACGACATTGTTATGTCGACGTGATTCCATTACAGGGTATGGTTTATCATGAATAATCCAAATCTGACCATCTTCGCTGATAAGTTCGACAATAAATTTTGTTCTGAAAATATACTTGCTCTTATCAACAAGATTATTAACAATAGTCAACGCTCGTTTGTCATCCATTGTGGAATCAATAAATATCCCATCACCATCAATTTCAAACGTAGATCAAACATGAGACGCACTATCTTGTGTAGATTCCTTTTTTTTTTGGCCATTGTGATAAATTCGTATATTTGCAACTCATGCAGGCGTTGTTTCTTATCTATGCCAAATTTATCTATATCAAATCTAATAGTTAGCTGTGGGTCAATCTCCAATAATCTTTTCCGTTCTCGACATATTGTCAGTATTAGCGGCAGATGCTATAATGGGGAAGGCTTAACCGCTTTCGCTTTGAAAAAGACAAAATATCGTTAAGTGGGTAATTGTAAACTTATAAAAATAAAACTATCTCAGGTGCACTTACCTGGGCCTCTCAGAGCCTAAATATGAGTGTTAATTCGAAAGCACCCGGGGTTCACTCGGGTATGTATGTATTTCATAACAAAACTAAAACCTCTCTGAATCTCTAGAATTCGCACTAGGCGATTCAACAATTGCAAATGGCAAAGGAAAAATACAATTACCCAAGATTCAACGGATGCTCAACGTCATTAAACCTGGCCGCAGGCATCCTTTTACTGTTTTTGCTTTTAGGTCAGATGTATATTGTCTCTTGTCTGATTCCACAATAGAGGTTTTATTGATGGTACAAAAAATGTTGGCCGCCATTCCGGGGGGGGGGCAGAAAAAGAATTGGTAGGATACTCTTATTCAAGCCTATGATTGGCCTTTTGGAGAGTTTAAAGAGTCAACACCACTTGGATAAAAATAAGCATTTCTATAGCCCCTATTTTCCTTGTTGAGGAGCTGCCCCCTAAAAATCGGTCGCCACTTTTTTCGCCCCCCCTCCCCTTACTGCTCAGTGTTTGTCGACCACATCCGCTTTCACTTTGTTTTCTTTTTTAAACTTCGAATGCGCTGCCTTCAAGACTGCCGTGTCTGTCATTTAAGATATTTCAAGTGATCTGAGTATTAGATTAGCTATATAAGGAGAAAACGATGCTCAAATTCAATTATAACTATTATGATACCTGTCAAAATCTCTCCACAAATTGTTTTATTGTTATGGATTTAACACCATTTTTTTATGATAGGCTATACATAGCAACAAGTATAGCTGGTAAAGGAAGAATCCGGGAAATCCTACTAGAAGAGCCATCGACCCATGGAAAACTACTGGCAGACTTTTTGATATAGACCATTTCATGGAGATTTAGGCGAACTTCGTAATTTGCTCGGAATTTTGATCACGTGGCGGGTGGTCAGCTGACCGCAATATCCAATCGATAATTGGTGGTAAAAAAAAAAACAAGACGGACGCATCAGCATTAGCAGCAACTTCAGCAGCTTCGTTTATCGAGTTGAAAAATTCCTATTCAACAGCGATGATGCCAGAGATATTGACGAAATTTAATATTGGATCCATCCATTCTTATTTTCTGGAAATTAGGGCGGACTTTAAAGCCATATGAGAGAGTTGCTATGAGCTGATTACATCTGGACATGTACATGTGAGTATGGAAACGGTGTCGATGTTAAAAATTTAATCCTTTTTTTTTACCATAACGCCGTATTAGATAAATCGAGTTTTGCTTACCAATATACGGTGTTTTTCCTATTAATCCGCAGTATAACAATCATGGAATATTTTTCGACGGTAAAGCTGCAGAAGTCCCTTCACCATCAGCACTAAAATGCATCGAACACATTCTCGCATTCTTGAATTGAGACATTCGTTTTCCGGTCCATTTAAGTGCCGATTTTCCTTCTCGTTTGAGCCACTGTTTGCACAACAAATCATCTTTCCATTGCAGACGATGGAATATAATGCCACACCCTTGGTTGGAATGAGTTTTGCAACCTCTGACGTTATAAGTAGCGGGCATTTCTTCTAAACAACAATGTACGCCATTTTGTTATGTACATGTGCCCACCAGTGTTTGATTGGCTGGAGTATAAAGTGACTCGGGATCTTTTTCGGATAATTACGAAGCAACTCGGTTAAATCCGGTATGAAATGGGCTATTGACACACTCTATTGTTGCTAAAGCCATGTTCTCACAACGGCCAATTTCCAAGCAATCTAGAACCGTATGGAATACTTTAAATTAGGAAATATATATTACCATAAAACAAAATCCAACTTAGCTAAGAACATTAAGGGCGGCGCACATCATGTTCGTCCACTGGGACATTTTAAAGAAAAAGAAAGGACTGTTTCTGAATGTTATTTCAACGCCCTATTTTCATAAAAGAAAACCATCCTTGATCCAATCATCGAACAACTCAACCAAATTGAAATTCCACTGACATAGTTATTCGCTGTTCTCTCGTTGATGTTTTAAGCATGCAATCGTGTTTTTTTTTTATTTTTTTAAATATATATTTATATTTTAAAAATATATATTTATATTTTAAAAATACAATTTGTATTGGGGGGCTGCTTTTTCTGTTCGTTTATAATAGTGTAGTTTATGTTTTTCAGGAGAGTTTATCTGCTTTTTAAATGAAAACCCATAATTCGTTTTGCTTGATATATACAGAGACATAAACGTACATGGAAGGTGTGTATCTTTGACATTATGTATCTTCTTGTTACGACATTCGTTTCACATGACGAGTCTTACTGATTGGAACATGTTGGTACAGTTCAGAGGAAAATGTAAGGAGTTAGAGAATGTCAACCAGGAAAAATGGTTTTTGACTATACTTTAAATGAAATAAAATGTCATGACTTGTTTTGCTAGATAACAAAACTAACTTCTTTTCCTCCTCTTACTATCATATAATACCACTTATTACGCTACATTTTCTACCCGATTCTATTATTTCCCTATACCTATTTATCTCCTTTCTTAACAAAAAGTCAACGCTCTTCATAAGTTTTACATAGCAATACTTAATTATCTACTATCTAGCCCATAGATGTCTAATATCCACTACCACCCCATTCTGTAATATCTCCATCTTTACCCATCATGCTTTTCTAAAACACAAAACTACCATCCTCATAATCCACACCTCGCTCTCTTAAATCCAGCACAGAGTTATATACTAACCAATTATCTGCTCAACACCTTGTGATCAACCAGTGATCTATTATCCAGACTCCAATTATCTACGCTCAGCGCCCATTTTTTTACTTTTCACCAACCAATTAGTGTCTATAATCCGATATGTCGTATTAGAATTGTTATGATGTTGTCCATGCTTGGGGTCGTAAGCAGTCGCAAAAGCCATCGAGCGACACGCAACTTCAAACCACTATACTATACTATGCTTTGCTATGCTATGCTATGCTATATAGAATTGTTCTTGGGTGGGTGCAGTGGGGCGGGGGCCGGGGACGGGGCCGTGGCTGGGTCTGTGATTTGGGTGCGATAGAGTGCGACAAAATTATATGAGTAATGGGTCAAAGTGGATGAAAGGCACAGACCGGGGTCAAGCATTCTCTTAAAGAGACTGTGGCCCAACCTGGAGCCATAAACAGTCGCAGAAGTACTCAGTGCAAAACGCGACTATAAACAGATATGCCTATCGGAAAACAATATTGTTTCTTAATACATGTTTTCAGTCACGTCCGTAATAAAACACAAGTTCAATTCCTTTTGAATTTTAAACTGGGATCATAAACTATTGATCAGAATAACAGTCATCAACTGAGAGAGAGAGAGAGAGAGAGAGAGAGAGAGAGAGAGAGAGAGAGAGAGAGAGAGAGAGAGAGAGAGAGAGAGAGTCAAGCTAACACCCCCCACTACCAACAATACACTAAGAAAACCTTTTTATAACACTTAGACAACTTATTTATATCTTATTGACCTCTCCTTTTGCTTAGTGGTTAGAGCGTCCGCCTCGAATGCAGGAGGTCGTGGGTTTGAATCCCGGCCGAGTCATACCAAAGACTTATAAAAATGGTACTAACAGCTGCCTCGCTAAGCGCTCAGCATTAAGAGGCTGGTGTTAGGATTGATCTGCCTGGTGTTAGGATAACATGACTGAGTGGGACATCGTGCTACATGTCTGTGGCATGATGCTCCAGTGCTAGACACCACTATGAACTGTCAACAATGCAGACATCGTAGCGATATGACTGAAAATTTTGTTAAAGCTATGTTAAAAATCTAAATCACATACACATACGCACGCACGCATACACACAGAATTATTTCGATAGTAAATAGATAGGAAAGAAATTTAAAATAATTTGACCTAAATAGGTCCGTATCGTAATACATTGTACACTCACCATTAAAGACACAATTGCACCACACAAGGGGACAATTTTAATTGACCTCTGACAAAGTTCGAAAATATTATACTTATTTCAAATCACAAAGGGGAGGGGGCTAGTGGCCGAGTGTTCTAAAGCGTTGTCCGTTACTGATCAACGCCATTTTACCTCTGTCTGCGTGGGTTCGAGTCTAAGATTCGGCGAATGTGGATCGGTGAGAAAGCTTGCCAGTAGTTTCGCGTGGGTCGGTGGTTCTTTCCGCGGATTTCCCGGTTTCTTCCTCCACCATTAATACTGGCCGCCATGTATCGTGTGCTGACAAATGGTGTTAAGCCCCAGAACAACAACAACAAAAATGGAGGAAAATCAAGGAAACCAACCCACCAGGGAGCATGTGTGTCTGAGTGATAGAGAGTACAGGCCTAAGTTAAAGACTTTTCAAAAAAAAGAAATAGAAAAATAAATTCATTTAAAATAGAACAAAGAAAAAGATCAACCTCGATCCACGTTCTTTTTCCAAAATCTTTAAGAAAATTGAAAGACAAGGTACAACATCAATAATAGTAAAATCATTGACTTTAGAAACCAGAAAGTGACATTTCCAAGTCTTAACTAGCTGTACATGCTGCGAAGGGCTATAAAATGCCAACAGAAGCTTAAAATGCTGAGTTATTATGTTCTTGTTTGTAAACAAAAGGGCAAACAAACAGTACATCAGTGTTATGTAGCCCAGAAGTCAGATGGGTGCTATTCTTTTCCGTCATATAGTTGTTGTTGTTCTATAGAGTTGCTCACAAATCTATTTTCGGCAAAAGAAAACCAAACAGCTACATGAGGGACATGCTCGGCGGTTTTTATTGCAAATAAATACCTAACAAGATATTAATGCACCAAGACATGTATTTATAGTTTTTCGAACTATGATCGGATGCGCGATACACAGTAGCTGAATAAAATTTTTGGCCATCAAGGAATGTCTGAAGTTTATTTGCGGTTACCCTTTGCGATTTTTGTCATCAGGAACCATCACAAGAAACTGTGCTTGACTTCATGTTGCACGTGCATATCTCAAGCTTTGATCGTTCATGGACAGGCATCAACCATCAACAGGTCTGAAGATTTCTCAAAAAGACTTAAAGACGTTGTACCCGGTTTATTACTTTTTTAATTTAAACACCTGGACATGTACAGACAGCCTGTTGGGAACCTGCACTCTACAGATATTATGAACTTTGAGAAAGTGGTTGGTGTAAGGTGAAGTTGTTTACATTTGCAAAGTTCGTAATGGAGAGAATGTTGGTATACCTCTTTGTTACTTTCACGTACTGTGGAGAAAATTTTATAGGATATTGTACTTGTGGAAGCTGTAAATGATCTAAGCACACAGCTAACTAAAATGACTGCTACCTTGTGCTAACAAAAAAAAAGCCTAGATTAGTCTTTAGTACACTATCTTTAGCAATTATTAAAATAGTGACAATTAATTTGACCAGACTAGACAATAACACCTTCTGAAAGCGCAATGAATAGAGTATAAAATATATAAAATGTGAAAAAGTTATCGGCTCTTTTGTTTTAAAAAAAATACCTGTAAAGTCCATGAAGTGAAAATGACCAAGCGGAGCTAACAGGATTTTGAGAGATGTACATTTGATGTAAGGCCAAGCTGTATACTCTATAACCCATATTACACCCATCAATGATATACCAAGTTAAAGGGAGTTTAAGGTTCTTTGACTAATACCCTAAGCTATTCATGGTCCTTTATTAAATAGCCAGTATAACCAGTGAGGACATCTGGGGAAATTATTTATCTTTAAAATTATAACTATGCAAAATACGAAACTGGTGAACGCAACATTTAATTGGGACACCTAAACCTGTACAGACAGTCTGGGCTGGACTTGCACATTCAGGCACGTGCAAACGGCTCCTTCTCGCCGCTCTCAACGATAAATACAGATGCATTGATGCGATTCTCTCTTATAAGATGCTTTGTTGGTGTTGGAAGGCGCAGATGGTCTAATGCAGGTAACTGACGCACCGGTGTAAAACCTATAATTGTTGCAGTTGTTATAATTAAACAGCATGATTTAAAATAATGTCTTATCGCGAGGTTAATGTTGTAGGTTTTAACCCAAAACAGCTTTCGAAAACAAAGAGCGAAATAAGAAGCAATTGAGGAGTCAAATTAAGGCTTTCTCAGGCATAGTTACCTGCAAATGACTTCTTGTGGTTGACCCCACAACAACGCATTCAGCTCAATGCAGCCAAACAAAATAATACCTCAGTGACATTAAAATTATCCAAGTCTGAGGTGACGCAAATGCAAAAGACTCGTGTCCATTCCAACATTATTATAAGCTGCGGCTAAAGCAGTTGCAAAAACAGCTGCGTTCGGAGTAGTCTGAACAGCATCCGGGATATCTCTGAAAGAGGCGGTCAGTGGACGCACAGTGTCTCGCAGACACATAAAAATGACGGGGTCTTTAGACTACCCTCGGACAGAAGTCTCCGACTACCCAGTAGGAATCGCAAAAGTCTTCACCATTAATCAATCTTGATATACTCAAGATGGTAAAGTAGTGAAGCATTTCTGGTGTGTCTTTATATTGAATGGACTTGTATCGACAATCCCAAGCATGCATTGCTAAGCTAAATTCTTCAGCAGAACATGGCACTCATTGGGTTACATACACAATAAAGTCACGACATATTTTATATTTTACTCGTATGGGCTTGCACCGCCAATTGAAATTGTTTATTATTTAACCCGAGAACGTGGACAACAACATTTACGGACGTTAATAAGCCTGACGCGGAGCTGACGAGGATATAAGCAGGTTTACTACCAAAGCCAACTTGAATTAGTATACCATACGAGTTGTTGCTGACACCTGTCGGTGCGAGCTTGTGACTTTAAAATATCAAACTGGAAAATTTAAATGTTTAAGGCAGACATTCAAGTTATCGTTCTGAAGCTGAGGAAAGCTATTGCAAATAACTTGGCCGAAATCTATGAAATCGGAAAATCTTAGAAGCTGATGTGTCGATTAGTGACTGTATTTCCAAAGAAGCAGTAACTGAAGTTCCCAAACATGTCGAAACAAACGTAGATTTACGCAAACGTTATATTTTCTTTTACAGCATATGTTTTAGCCATACAGCATACATTCGCATGTGACGATCGAATTAAAAGTAGTAAATCATGGGGCACTCAAGTCGCTAATCGATATTTGTTACCGAAATTTAAATTTCCCATTGTGATGCTACTCTTGAAACTGCACTATTTCGAATGTGCGAAAATACAAGAGACCGCTAACCGGTTTTATGGATTTTTCGCTAAATAGAGTCTTGTCATTGGCGAAAACTACTAGTTATTGACAAATGTCGGCCATAGTGATCACATACACCTATGAATATTAATTCTTAATATTCTATATGTGTTTTCAGTTTTCAAATGTGAAATCCCGGACAGGTAGAAAACACTTCTAGGTCAAAGTGCCACTAATGCATTTTCATGCTCCATTTAATATATACACACTTTTAGATAATGATCATTTTCAAGAGATTTGTCTATAAAGTTTTTATATATTTATATGCATTATATTATATGTATTACCGTTTTCTACACGTTATCGTGTGTATTCTCTCCAAACGTTATGTATACATTCATCAACTGCTACTATGTTTGCATAAAGTTTGGGATTCTGTACCAACCAAGCAGGCGAGACAAAACTTTCTGCAAAATTTCATGTTTGTTCATTCTTAGCACGTATATTTTTAATCATTTAAGAGTTAGAAAGAAGAAAATATCTCTTTAATTTCTATTTATTTCAAGATGGGAAACACAACAATTCTGTTTCATGCATTTTCACTCTCATCCTCTCAATGTGTACAAAACAATGCTATTCTCCCACGTATCAACACAAGTTGTATCTATGAATAATTACAGGTTAGTAACACAAAAAGTAAACCAGAAACTCACGCGTAAAATAATCAATTAATTGGATAGGCTTCTAAGCAATAAACGAAAAATACATATATTTACAAAAGTGGCATCTCTCTCTCTCTCTCTCTCTCTCTCTCTCTCTCTCTCTCTCTCTCTCTCTCTCTCTCTCTCTCTCTCTCTCTCTCTCTCTCGTTTCACCTGCGTATTTCAAGATCTGCTTGCAAACAGGAAAACCTGTCCAACAATCTAACCATCTGGCCGTTCCACAACATAACAACTGCATGCATTTTGTAACTACATAAAAATAATATGGTGTGTCTATGCAGTTTTAAACAGAAAATTGAACAAGACATTCGTGAACGATCAGTTTTATCTAGACGTCATCTCCAGACATTGATAATGCACAGTCTGGATACATATATCACGGAAATGCAAATCATTTCGCCCAAAAGATAAAGATGAAATGAAAGGGTCTGCGGAAGAAGAAAAACATTCTAGCTGAATCATGTATGTATGGGCGAATCCCCTTAGAAGAGTATCGTGATCCAAACATTTGTGAATGAATTTACTGTTTGGAAAAAAAACTAATTTAAATATTTGCACATACACTTCATTAACCGTAATTACGCCCAATTAGACTGAAAAGTAAATCTTGCATTATGTTCTGTTGCCTGAACGATGCAAATAATTCTCAACAGCTAGATATACCTGTAAACGTGTGTGTGTGTGTGTGTGTGTGTGTGTGTGTGTGTGTGGTACGAGGGTTTATAAAAAAAGTTTTATAACAAATGCTGTAAGGAAATATTACTTGACAGTTAACAAGAATTTTAGTAATCTTTATCTTGGTTCTTTCAATGTAATGCGCTTTTCTCAGGAGTTAAACATGTCCTGAACTTACGCAATAGACCGTCACGTGATAGCAATTTTCACAAACCCGTGGTCGCATTCCTGACTTATTTTTATGCTTTTGAAATGGTTTCCCCGTAATAAATCCTACAAACTTGGAAAAATCGAGAAGCCGCAAGGAATTGAATCCGGGCTGTATGGTGGGTTGAGGGTTTCAAGGCAAAGTTGTTTTTGCAGACGTCACGACTGTATACACAAATACCCAAAATGCAACGCGTGCTCCTTGCACCACCATTTGAGTCCCTAGTAAACCATTGTCAACATTAGTCATCACGTATATTCCAGATAATAATCTGATTTAACTGCCGACAGGGACATTTGCGAAATCCTAATGATCCAAAGATTATGTTGAAATTAAAAGGCTCTGTAGCACGAAAATGAAATTAAGCTGGAGGTTTCCTGGCTTATATAGAAACGCAGAATAATGAAGTTGAACTGTAATCGTGCATATTGCTATCAAATCACAATGTAGTTAATTATTATTTACAAATAGACAATATTGGCATTTTTTTTAAAAAAATGTTTTGTATGATGTCTGTCTGTAAGCTTGTCATTTTGAAAGAGTATTTCCAGACGATTAAATTAAAATTTCATTGTGTAGGATACCAGAACTTTTACGTAAAGATGCTTTTCGCGAAAATACGAGTTTTTGCCAAAGACAACTGACAAAATTTAATTACTGTTGTCAAATATTGTATTTGGAATGGAGATAATGGGCGAAGGATATTAAATGAAAACGGTAACCGTTCATAGAAGTTTCATCTTCAGTATATTAAAACGAAACATGTCCCTAACGAAACATGACTGTGCCAAATGTCAAAACCGTGTATTCTTCAAATGCTTTTAAAAATATTAAATTATATATTAACGACTGGGCCTGGCTTCTCAACTTAAACGATAACAAATGATTGATTTCAGCCCAAGAAGACTGAAAATTATTACATATTTCTGCTTCTTTGTGTATCCATTTGTTTATGCGTCTGTTAATTGATGGATCTATTTATTATTGAAAGAGACCACTCCGGTGGCCGGGTGGTTAGGGCGTCCGCCTCGGATTAGGGAGGTAGCGGGTTCGAATCCCGGCCAAGTCATACCAAAGACATATAAAAATGGTACTAATAGTTTCCTCGCTAGGCTATCAAGCATTAAGAAGTTAGTGTTTGGACTGGCCAAGATAATGGATGATGGGTAGGACATCATGCTACATGTCTGCGGCATGATGACCCATTGCTAGACATTACTGTAAATTATCCACTGCAGACATGGTAGCGATATGAATGATATAATGTTAAAGCTACGGTATAAAATCCAAAACACACACACACGCTGTTTTTAAAAAAAATAACAAAGATGGCTGAAATTTCAATGGTTTTCTTTGAAAAAATGTGATGGTGGGGAAGACAAGCACTCGATCTAGTGAGGTTGACATGCACAGCAGAATGTGATGTACATTTTTATTATATCCTTACGCAATAATTGAGACGTGCCTCCATAATTTTGTAGAAAGAACAATGTTCTTAGGGACCTATTTGCGTGGATAGGGAATTATAATGGCGGATATGGAAGTACACATGTTTTGTGACGTCACGTGAAAATGACACAAAAGGTATGGATTACAAATTTGAATATGTATGCGTGGGCGTTATCCTGATGCAAAACGAAGTCACCCTCTGTAGGTCTGCACACTTCTAGCGACCAGTCACGTAAATTGTATCTGATTACTGTGGCATGAAACAGTCCATTCGCTTTTGCGTTATTTGATACGATGCGGTTCCAAGTTATACTTGCGAGTTGAAGAACATAATGACTATAATATATGAGGCAGATTTAGAAGGAACAATTCTTCTAAGCGATGCCAAACGTCTGTGCTTCCAAAAAGTGCTTCGTTTTCTTTCTCTAGGGTTCAAAGTAGTGTATCCAAGTTTCATCTTAAGAAATTATTTTAATTCAGAAATTTCAGCTTTCTACTTTTTGTGTAAATAAAAAAATTCATTCAGATCTTTACCTTCAAACCGAAGTGTTTCTTTGTTTTTTTTGTTTTAAATCAAGAACTCGGGGAACCCAACGAACACAAACCATGTGGATTCCTAATTCTTTGGTAAGAATTTCTTATGCACTTCCTTATGAATATCAAAATTGTCTTATTACTGTGAGACAATAATACGTCGATCTTTATTATCTAAGCTTCAAAAGAAAGAGGTGGCCTTGTCCTATTTTTTTTGTATTGTCTGCAGCAGCCTCCATGCCATTATTTAAATATGTTTCATAGATGTGTGTGTGTGTGTTTATCTGCTTCATATTGACACGTTAATCACAGACTTTCATTGATTGAAACGATTTTAGTTGTTGTTGTTGTAGGGTTTAACGCTATTTTTCAGCATGAGATGCGCTATACATGGCGAAAAATATCAACAGTGGAAGAAGAACCCGGAAAAAAAAAATGTAAAGAACCACCGACCCCACGAGAAGCTTCTAGTAAGCTTTCTCACATATCCATATTAGTCGAACACAAGACTCGAACCCACACAGACAAAGGTGAGATGGCAGTGGTCAGTGACGGTGATATTTTGTGAATTGTCTTTACATCTGTTTTGCTCGTGAAGTTGTGGGAAATCAAACTCACAATAAGTATTTTCTAGGCAATCGGTACACTGATCCAAAAATTGAGAAAAGACAAGGATCACTGATATTCACTTTTATAAATATACATGTTCTGAATTTAGTAATTGTTATTGTAAGTCAATTTTTTTTTTCTCGGTTTGAAACGTGCCTGAGAAGAAAAGATACAAGCAAACACCTGTCATACCTTATGACCATTTTTGAAGAATACGAAAGTGGGCATACACTCGATTCCAACTGCTTCTGCCACTTCCTGATGACAAAAGAAAAATGCACTCAGCTTCGGAATATAGTAAGTATAGTAAGATATTAGAAAAATAAATGTCATATATATATATATATATATATATATATATATATATATATATATATATATATATATATATATATATATATATATATATATATATATATATATATATATATATATATATATATATATATATATATATATGATTTCTAGACAAAATCGTAAGTAATTAGGTTTATTAAACAGAAACTTCTTTATACCATCCTCACCATATTCAACGACTCTCACCGCATTTGACACGACTTCAATCGAGTAGTTCAATTGTTTCTCTACAAAAAATATCCGTTGATGGACAATTCATATGAGATGCGATATTATTAAAACAGGTTGTCTGGTTGATTATCCCATTTGGTTCGTACTAAAAAAAACCCGTATTGATTATTCCATATTATCGACCCCCTTTAACATCAGAGCGTTCTCATATAATAATTGATATTGTTTGGCAAATAACGATAAAGGTAAACTTTAACGAACATATACCACATACATTAAACATAACAAGACTTTTACAGTGTTGGTATAAAGCAATTTGATATACCAATACTACTTGTATATCAAATTGTGATCCAAACATGGCTCAATAATACGCATATATAAACATTCTCGCAACCGTGTGCTTTTGATTCTAGATCAATGATATATTTCCACATATTACTCATTAGTGACGTATGAAATGAACGATAAAAAATATAAATAATCCCAGTTTTCTAAATTAGTGCAATAATATAGCATACCATATCATTGCAATCTTTACTGTTTTGTGTCCCCCTCCTCTGTCGTGCATAACGGACAAAATACTCAAGACTGTGGAGTGAGAAAAAAACCTTAAAATTCAACTTACACCTAATGACATGCAAGAATATGGTTCGTCGTAACAGTACGTGTGCACTTTCCTTGGTATTTATCAACAGTATTTATATAATTAGTGATACAAAGTTGCAAACCGTGTCGCCATTATACTGTAAATTTATCGGTTATGTGATACGCATACTATGATGTATATACGGTTTTGTTGTTGTTGTATCTTAAACCTATTATAATGTTCTCAAAATCGATTAATATTAATTATATATAAATATTACAAAGGCCTCTCTCTCTCTCTCTCTCTCTCTCTCTCTCTCTCTCTCTCTCTCTCTCTCTCTCTCTCTCTCTCTCTCTCTCTCTCTCTCTCTCTCTCTCTCAATTACCCTTTATCACTCATTTCGTTTAGTTTCTATTCCACATTAATTTCCATGTGCCGGTACCTGAATGCCGGAGCGTTCATGTGAAAGGCGTTGTAAGGGTGCAAATTTTTGTCGATTTATGGAAGAGCACATTAACTTGGGCAGGTGAACGATTAATTAGATTTATGGTGACCGGCTCGTGTTTAATCATAATAATGCACTGAATTTGTAACGATTCTTAATTTAGTTACGTATTTTTAAACTGAAGGATACGGGTTAACTTTCAATCTGTATCGGAAATGTCAGATAGAAATTTTCCAGAAATAGTATTAGGTTATCTGAGTTATCTGATGGACTACGTTTTGGCACCTAGGTTCAGGCGGTAAATATATCTAATTGAGATTGGTTACACTAGATAGAGAGCGAGATTCCTATACGAAATTCTAGGGTTTACTATGTCTCATCGCGTGGGTTCGATCCCAGGTCGAGTCATACCAAAGACTTACAAAAATGGTACGCTCAGCATTAAGAGGTTAGTGTTAGGATTGGTTGGCCTGGTGTCAGGATAATGTGACTGGGTGTGACATCATACTACATGTCTGCTGCATGATGTCCAAGGGCTAGACATCACTATACACTGCCACATTGCAGACATTGTAGCGATATGACTGAAAAAAATGTTAAAGCTATGTTAAAAATTATAAACACCACCACACCAGATAGCCGTTGGTATCTGTTTGAATTCCGATAGAACTTTATCTGACTTAACGAGAGGGGGAGTAATGATCTATCCCCAGTAGGATACCTGACCGAAGTATTTAGGTTGCATCTCTGTCTATTTTGAAAGGGAATATAGCTCCACCAACGTATCCACCAGACGTATACATGAATCCACCTATTGCAGTATTTACTAGAGAATTTGGAAAAAATAAAAGTGGAAATGATCCAGACGTACAGGCATAGTGAAGTTAAAGAACAGTCACAGTGAACTGGACTGAACTAAAATAATCAGCTTATAAATTTGTACAAGGCAATGATTTCGATCGGTTACTGATTTCTATGATGAACTGATTCTATCACTTAAAAACAGATTGTCTAGTTGTATAAATATTTTTTTGAAAGTGAATGATTTCTTTCAAACCGAAGGGTATCTTCCGATTGCAAATGTTTATAAATTTTGATTAAATTTGTTATTTTCGTGTTCGGGGGCTCGTGTCATTCTGTTTTATATATCTGCTCAGATCTCTATCTATTCCACCTATACATTTCACACTTTGTATTGATATTTACTTGATCCGGGCAATACCACCGAAGGCGAATACCCTCTAAATAACGATAACCAAAGTCCACCACAACCCACCTCCAACAATGCGAATCTTCGTGGCAGGCGTTGCTAACCATGTGTTTGTAGTTCCCTAGTTTCTTCATTAAAACATCTTTGATGTTAAAATAATAAGTGTATATTGATTTAATCAATGTGAAGAAAAATAGAAACTCAGAAAAGAAAACTATCAACCTATCAAATCTGAAAAGATCGTGAATAGTCACAAAAGGTACAAAACTATATTATGTATTGGACACACTCGGCAGGGATGTGAGGAGTTCGTTCACTCGGTCAATACACAGTCGCCTGCAGCAACACTTAACTCCTTCAAATGATAAATATATGTATTAGTGATATATATAAATTATATATATATATATATATATATATATATATATATATATATATATATATATATATATATATATATATATATATATATATACACACACACCGTGTTGAGCTTTGTATTAGAAAAACACTTGTTGCCCAGTTCAGCTGTCGTTCATGAAGAAACGATCGATGAAATATTATTTTAAAATTAAAAATTAGACGGAGAGTGAAAGGACAAGAGATTCGCAGAAGAAAAAAAAACCTACCGAAGCCTCGTCGACATCAACCTTGACAAACACCACCTTGTCATGTAGTCCGGGATCGGCAGCGAGGGCCTAAAGA